CCAAACTCTAGCAGCTCATCATCTGTAGGGGAGTTGATGCCCAAGGTCAAATAGGTCCTGACTGGAAGCCTGGCGTGAGGTAGGCGTCGGTGCGGTCTACTGGCAGTGTGCGTGCCTCCCCCTTTTCAAACGAAGAGCAGGCTTCTGTCTCCAAAAGTGTCGGTCTTAGAAATTGCAGTGCAGATCGGGGCGTCTGGCTAGCTCGGTTGGAAGAGCATGTGGTTCTCAATATCCAGGTTGTGAGTTTGAACCCCGTGTTGGGTGTAGAGATTACTTAAAAATAATTTTAAAAAATCTTTAAAAAGAAAGAAAGAGAGGAAGGAAGAAAGAAAGGAAGGAAGGAAGGAAGGAAGGAAGGAAAGAAAGAAAGAAAGAAAGAAAGAAAGAAAGAAAGAAAGAAAGAAAAGGAAGGAAAGAAGAGAGGGAGGGAGGGAGAAAGAAAGGAAATGCAGTGCAGAGGGCGAGGTCCTGGCTGCGTGTGGAACTCGGGACCATCGCTGGGGGTGCAGAGTCAAATACCATTCTCCCTGATGCCTCTTGTGAAGGGAGGGAGGGGTAAGAGAATGCAGATGGAAAAAACCTCTGGATAATCCATATTTCATTTCACTTTGGGTTTGAAAGAAGTTTCTGCTCTATTCCCAGAACGCACAGCACCTAGGAAGAGACAAAGGTGGCCCGGATGCCCCTGCATTTTCTTCACCACCACTTACCAAGTAATTACTCTTTATTTGTACCAAGCACTGCATGGGGCGGGGTGGGGGGGGGGCTTTAAAGCCCCTTATCTTTTTTAATCCTCTAGCAAACCTCTGCGGTGGGTCCTAATGCCATGCCGGCCTCCCAGGAGAGGCTATAGCAGCTCAGAAAAGTTAGGGGACGGCCCAAGGTCACCACACCAGCATGATCAAAGCCTGCGGCCACCACAGGCTCCCTTTTAACCAGTGTTCTCGGGGGTTGGGGGGGGGGTGGTGATTTGGCCACAGGGGACATTTTGTGGGGAGGGGCCTGGTGGCGGTTGTGTCTGGCTTGCAGTGGCTAGAGTCTGGGGAGACAGCTACCATCCTGCATGGACAGCATGGAGCCCTCGAAGCCCAGGATGTCAGTTTCACAGACTCTGAGAAAGTCGGCTTCTCACCCTGAGCACGCGGCCAGGGTCATTGCCAGAATTCCCCCTTGAGATAGAGATGAGGAGACGAGGGTTCTTTTCTCTGCTTGCTTTTGATTCAAAAGGTGGAATTGTTCCTATTGAGGCTCCGAATTTACTTCTTCCAGTCTTGGGAACAAGCTAAATGTGGTGGAGAAACACCTTCAGAATTGATGTTTAAAGAAAGGGAAAGAAACTAATTTTTGCTGGAGGACACATGTGCCGTGCTGGGCTAGCCCTCTTTCAAACCAGTAGGTTATTCATCCTTCAAAACAGGACATCGACCTTTCCCTCCATGCCCTGTTGAAGGCCAGAGTAGAAACTCAGTTTGGAAAGGTTAGCTTGTTCAAGGTCACGTGGTGTATGGATGGGACGTCTGCTCTCTACCTGTATCTAAGTGATGCTTTTTTCTTCAAGAAACAATAAAATCTACTCTGATGGTAAACTGGGAAGCTTACAGAGGAGCATTAAAAAAATCCCCCTACTTTGTAATTAAAAGGATCGCTTTTTATACCCCATAAAGTAATCCCTACGTGTCATAGAAAGTGTACTTTAGTATATGGGAGTGTGGGTGAGCTGGTTATAATCATGCTTTTTTACAATTCTCCAGGGACATTTATTATCTATTATCTCATTTGATCTCCTCAAGACACTTGGGAGGCTGTCGGTGGGGGGCAAATGTCCTCATTTTCCACCTGAGGGACTGGGCCTCAGAGGGAGTAGGACTTGGGGAGAGGCTCTGAGGGATGCTAGCCCTGGGCCTCCTGGGCCCACCCCAGGGCAGTGGCCAGGCAGCGCCATGACGGCTGACCTCCTTTTCTCAGGAGCCTGGGTGAGCTCAAGTGAACTCTGACTCAGTAAGGGTTAAGATACATAAAACTCTTTTATGAGTAGTAACCATTTACTGTGCCCAGTAAAAAAAAAAAAAAAAGGCCCTTCACTGAGCTGGCTGCTTTCCCTGGCGGGGTGGGGGGTGGGACATGGTTGGGGGGGGCATGGGGGGAGGTGGGGGAGGGGAGCAGAAGGGCGCAGTGCTCTTGCACATAGGCCAGCCTCTTGGGTGGGGGGCGGGCAGTGTTGGGGCTGCTGGGGCCTCCTGGTCCTAAAGGCTTCTCTGTGGGTTGAGAGTAGTTCCAGATGCCTTCAGGAGATGGCAGAGAGAAAAGATCACCTGCCCCAAGGGAAGGGGCTTGTGGGCGTTTGGTCACAAGTGGAGAAGTGGCCCGTGCTGTCCTGCGACATTTATTGAATTCCTTGTTCTAACCTGCTAAGCTTTCCACACGCACGACCTCGTTTGATTCTCTCAGCTTTGAGTCTGGGGTTGTTCTCATTTTATGGCTGGGGAAAGGGAGGATCGGAAACTTTTGGGGGCTATACAGGCTTGGGAGTGGCTTGACCTCATGCATGGCAAGTGGGGGACGTAGGATCTGAGCCCACCTCTCCCCAGATCCAAAGTTGGGGTGCTTAGCCCTCATATCAGCCTGCCTTCTAGATGTGGAGGGCGGAGGGGGAATGGAAACCCTGAACTGGCTGAGGAGTAGCTGGGGCTTGGCCCAGGGCCCGGCCTGCTCCCACTGAACGGCCGCTTGGAAACAGCCCTGTAGGCAAACCCTTCCGAAAGCGTTTCAGGGAAGGCTTCCCCACCCCCAACCCCAGGCCTAAGGGTCAGTCCTTTCTCTCTGCAGATGGGCAGGGCTCTGAGCTTCAGCTCTTTCACGGTTAAACAGTAACCTTTCTACTGCTTGTGGTTGAACAAACGCCCAAGGAACAAGCCCAGCCTTGAGCAAACAGAACACCGGGCCATGCCCCTCCCCTCCCCCAGCCACCTCTCTGGGGGACCTGCAGGTTTTCTTTTGCCCTGGAGTCCCCCCATCGGATTGCTTAGCTGAGGGCAAGTGTTCTAGAAAGCTGGATGGGAAAAAGGAGAGGAAGGTTTGACTTGGGTTGGTCTCCCTTCTCCGGGATTGAGAAGCAAAGAGGCTTCGGGACCGGGCACGGAAGAATCGAAGTAGTCACCTTCTTTACATTTTTGTGCGGGGAAACTGAGGCCCGCGATTGTTTCTGGTTTGAGTTACCAGAGGGGGAGCAAGTCTGCTTCTCATCACACCAGCCATATAGCTGTGCCTTACTTCGTGCTGAGCACTCCAGGCATAGAGACCCACTTAACCTCCAGCCAAAGCACACAGTAGGTACGGTGACTTGCAGTCTGCATGGGAGGAAATGGGTTCAGAGAGGACAGTGACTTGTCTGGGTTAGTATTAAGCAGCTGGTAAGGGGTAGAGCTTGGAATCAAGCTCTTTCTGGCTTTGATGCCACCACCCAGAACCCGGCTCTGCCCTCTTCCCAGCCCGTGGTCTGCTGGGGTCCTATCTTTCCTTCTCTACCTGCTACTTAGGCAGAATTCAGGCCTAATTACTTGCCAAACAACCATGACACTGTTAATAATAATCACAAATGTCCTGTTTGGACTAGCTTGACTCCCAGTCACTGCTCTGTCCCTGGTCCCTGGAACAGTACCCAGCCCGTTGTAAGGCAGGTAAGTATTTGTTGAATAAATCAATACACAAATGAATTTGTATGCCTATGCCAGACCCCTCTTTCCCTCTCTGAAGCCCTACCTAGAACCAGAGAAGTAAGAGCTAAGTTAGAGGGAGGGGTTTGGGGGGCTGGAACTGCCCTGTTTGATCAATTTCAACCCTGGGGACATTGGTGAGACCCAAGGATGCAAGATTTCCCCAAAATAGGCAGAAAAATTTCCATGAGCTGCTGCTATAAGGTTACCTCCTCTCCCAGCCCCAACAGCTTAGAAAGAGCAGGTTATCTTTATAGGCCATGAGGGACGCTCGGTCGCCTTCTGGAAACAGGCAACTCTTCTTTTGAGTGATTGAACACATTTCTAGGGTTTGAGTCTGAAAGGACGAGGGTGGCCGGCCTCAGGGAAGGGAACAATATACACTCCGAGGACAGAGGTGACTGTTTCTAAAGTGTAACATTTTTACGTCGTTTCAAAAAGATCCAAACGGCCCCATGTGAGAAAGGCTCTTCCTCCATGCCCTTTCCTACAAAAACGAGATGAGAAAGTCACGTCCAGGTGAGCTTCAAAGCCTCTGGTATTCTCCAGGGCTCTAAAAGGAGAGAGAAAGCTTGTCAGAATTTTCACCAGGAAGGAAGGACAGGGGCAGTGTCTTGTTGGAGAAACCGACTGATCCCTGATGTTATCATGGAGCCCAATACTGGAGGCGCTCTAGGGACACAGGACTCAAGTCCTCAGAGATGTGGCCGTGGCCGTGGCCCTGGGCCGTGGCGGCTGTCTGCACTAAGAAATCTTAGTGTCTACGTGTCTGAGTGCAGGGCTGCTCTACTGTGGGGACTTGTGAACGTCGGATTTCAGATCCGAGCTCCCGCACAGGTGCCCAGGGTTGGCTGCTACAGGCTTGGATTTTTATTGATTGTAATTCCACTTCACACAAAATCTCTTTGGCATTTTCACTTTTGTAAAAAGGAAAAAAAAAAAAAACACCAAAAAAAAAAACCACCCAGCTCCGTGGCTGCTGGCCAGACTCGCCCTGCGAGCAGCTATTGCCTTTTCCTCTGCTTCATTCCTGATCAGAGATTATTCATTTATGAATAGGGGGCTGTAAAAACTTGCCTCATGCACATGAAAGTTGAACCTGGAAATTTTTAATTGCCGGGGAGTTTTGCTCTTACTGAAAGCACTGTGGTAACACGCTTTGGAGGCAATGGATGGAAGGACAAATTCTTTTTTTTTTTTCTTCCTGGGTTAACTCTATGGTCTGTGCTCTCAGACGACGTTAGTCCAGGAGGCCCTGACTGAGCGCCCTGTTTGGTCCCCTTACAGATCATGATTCTGGAAGGAAGTGGTGTGATGAATCTCAACCCCAGCAACAACCTCCTCCACCAGCAGCCAGCCTGGACAGACGGCTACCCCACCTGCAATGGTAAGGGGACCTCACAGGTGTCAGTGTCACCCCCCCCAGGGGCTTTACCCCCTCTGTTCTCATTAGGCTTCATTTCCCAACTTCATGTTTGAAAAATACAGGTTTTATTCAGCAGGGGTGTGGGGATGCGGGGAAATGGAGAACACATCATGCTGGAGGTCCCCAAGGGCTGCTGGGGCTCCAGATAGAAGCCCGTTGGAGATTTTCCATCGTTTCTTCCCAATATCCGAGGCAGCCTGGCAGAGAAGGTGCTAGAAGATATGCCAGAAGGGAAGGCCACCTGTTGATGTTTTTAACAGTGTTTGGCTGGGATATCAAGATTGGATATCAAGAAAGGGGTGTGTGTGGGGGAAGGTGTGTATGTGTGTGCACACGTGTGCACGCACGTGCGTGTTTGCATTCATGTGTGCGTGTGCACCTGTGTGCGTGTGTGTTGTGCAGAAGCATGGAACTTAGGGAAGACAGGGTCACAGCATCTTATCCTTTCTGCTTCATCTTCCAGTGGCCTCCCTGTGTAAAGGGAGAGATTTGTTAGGAGACCATGTGCCTCCCTTAAGCGCTTTCATTTAGAGCCCTGGGTCAGAAAAGGGAGGGCCTGCTTCGGGGGCTTAATAGAGGGTTTGGGGATCAAGCCATGGCTTACTGTGGACGGGAGCAGAATTCAGACATTGCCGAATCTGGCCCCACCCCCTGCCGTGAAGGCCTTAGGTCTTGCAGACTCCGGTGCCTCAGGCTGCCCTGGGTTTAAGGAGCTCCAGGCCCTCTCCTGCCCCATACTTACTGCTGATCTCCTTGAAGGAGGTCCTGCTGCTCCTGCTTCTTCTGAGGAAAGAAGAGGACCTGCCGCTGAGTGGAGTCTGTAAAGCAGGAGGCGGAGGATAATGGAAGGGTTGTATTCTCCAGCAGAAGCCCAGTCAAACAGGGCTGGGAAGCGTGGTCAGGGGACCTTCCCTTACTTGGTCACTTAGCCACAAAACTGCTGTCCTTTCTGGGCAGTGAACTTTGCTGTGGCAGGCCTCAGCTTCTTTGTGAGGCTCTCAAAGGAGGGTTCCCAATTGGGTAGGAAGTTTCTTCAGACTAGAAAGCCTGTGGCGTTCCCAGTCTGGGCCCTGGATCATGGCAGCGTTCCTCCTGCATGCTTTGGAGAAAGCTGGGGCAGTGTGCTTTTCAGGGAGTAGTATTTGGGTTCCACTTGTATGTTTTAACTTCCAGAGGCCCCAAAGAAGGCCCAGCCCCCAATCATGATTGAGGTTGAGGGAGGTAAGTTGATCAACAGACAAGAGCTGAACTCAGAGGCATTTCACAGCTTTTCCTAAAACTTTGGGGATGTAAAGAGCCCCCCGGCAGCTAGAAGAATCCCCTGGTCGATTTGAGACAAAATCCTCTGGTTCTCCCATGTTCTAACAGGATATGATATCGGGAACTGTTCTTTAGTCTGGATCATGTGAAGTTGGAAGAGGAAATAGAGAAGCTTATTGTCGGGTTACTGAGAGTTACTGTCTCTTGTTTGCAGACTCAGAGCTGTACTGTCGTAGTCATGTAATTATTTTGGAAAAAAAGATCAAAGCCTCAGGGAGCCGTAAAACCACATCCCATCCTTAAACAGCTCTTTTTTGTGAGACACCCCAAAATTGGAGGGACATGGAAGTATTCAGTCTGAGTTCTGTGTGTTTGTATATTTGGGAATATTTCTGTAGGATTTCTATAAGGATTGTTCCGATCCTTGTCCCTGTTCCCCACCACAACTGGCTTCCCCTCCAGGCCCCAGGCAGAGGGTTTTAGGGCTGCTTTTGTCTGGCCATGATGTATGAGGAGTGAAGACATACTGTGAGTAGTAAGCGTGACCCATGGCACTCATCTTTGTCCCTAAATGACCTCCATCTCCTGCCGTTAGTGCTCCTGAGGTCTGGAAGCAGGGGATGGATTCAGAGGGGATGAATACAAGTGGGACTAGGTTGGACACATTACCCCTTCAGTCTCTCTGGGGGTGCTGAGGGCTAGGGAATGGCCATTATGAGACTCAAACCTTTGGAGCTCTTTAGCTCTTTGGCACTCAAACTGTATTCATGAGTCATCATCTTCATCGTCATCATCACCATCATCGTCATCGTATGGAAGCTTGCTAGGAATGCAGAAACTCAGGCTTCACTCCAGATCTATGGAATTTGAATCTGCATTGGAACAACATTACCTGGTGATTGACAATCACATTAGACTTTGAGAAGTACTGATCTAACGTGCCTTTGAAGAAAAAAAAGTAGGGACAGTTTTCTTGCCCTCTGTTTTCCGCTGTTGGTCTATCCTTAAGTTCAGTTCCCCACTTCAGCTCAGTGGGCTCCAGTAGTGTCTTCCCCTCATCCCTGCCCCTCATCATTCCTGGATGAGAGTTCCTCCCTGTGACCTCTGTTTTCAAGGGGTCGGTAAGATCTCAGGTTCGTTACCATGTGCTCAGAGGATATCTCTCTCTTCTCCATCCCCTCCCAGCACTTTGGGCTAACTTTGTGATGTTCTCTGAAGGGAACACGGGGAATTCCCTTATGTAGAAGTTTAGCCCATCTCCAGTTCAGCTATATCGATTAGCTTGGACGAACTTGACTTCTTCACTGGTATTTATTTAATCAGGTTGTGAATGCACCTGGAACTCTTCTGGATTTCTACATTATCTCTTCTTTGGCAAGAAATTCCACCAAGAAATATACAGAGAGCACCTATGATGATGGCATAGTCTCTGAGGTGGTTTTTGTAGGAGAGGCAAAGATGACTAAGACAGAGTCCATGACCTTGACTTTACAATTTACAAAGGAGAATAAGCCAGAACCTAGAGATGCGTAAAGCAAAGCAGAACATGACAAAAGCCATTAGGAGAAATATCAAGAACATCTGTTGGAGATTCAGGGGACATCAAGCCCTGAATAATAATTTTGGGGGGGGGGGATGGTCTGTGATGGGTTTTTGGGATGGCCGGACTCAGCAAGCTGGCTAAGTCTTCAACCGGGAATGACTGGCAGAATATAAACCAGGCTGAAAGAACCAGAGAAAAAGGGCAGAAGTGATGGGTCACTTGGAGGAGAATTACAGAAGAGCCTCGATGCCTGGCTTGGCCATTTTTTGCCCAATTTCAGTGAGTAACGGAAAGCTCCTGAAGGCAGCAGAGTAGGGAAGTGACATCACAGCGGCTGTAATAACCGGTGTGGGGCTGGGGTAGATCAGCATAGTTAGCCGGCGGCTAAGCAGGACCACTCTGGGGAGGAGCAAAGGCATCATGGAGAAAAAGAATCTTACTCTCAGGCCTCGTTTTTGGTTGAAAATGGTCTGAATTTGGGGTTATGTGTGTGTGTGTGTAAAAGACAGTTAAAATGGGAGTGAGAAAAGAGAGGAAGGGAACTGTGTGGGTGTGGACGATAGGTAATAGGTTGGTGAAACTGTAATGATGTGTTAGCCTTCTCTGTACTTTGTGGGATGCCCTCCTAATCTCGGGGCATTCAGGCTGTGTCCTGTCCCAGGGCTAAGTACTCTGCTAGGGAGGACGGGAAGAGTTAGGGAGGCACATTCCAGACGGCCTCCTCTCTAGAGCCCGTCTCATGCTCCAACATCCCCACTGCCATTGTGCCCACACTTGGCAGCCGAGCGGTGCCTCCCCATGTCCAAGATTATGTACCGGAAGAACCACGGGTCACTCACGGGACCGCCTCCTGTTTTACAGTTGCCAGCGGGTTTTTTGGAGGCCAGTGGCATGAAATCCATCCTCAGTACTGGACCAAGTACCAGGTGTGGGAGTGGCTCCAGCACCTCCTGGACACCAACCAGCTGGACGCCACCTGCATCCCTTTCCAGGAGTTCGATGTCAACGGCGAGCACCTGTGCAGCATGAGCCTGCAGGAGTTCACGCGGGCGGCGGGGGCGGCGGGCCAGCTTCTCTACGGCAACCTGCAGCACCTCAAGTGGAATGGTGATTACCTCTCTCTACCCCGCTAGACATCCAAGGCTGGGGTGGGGGTGTGTGTGTCTCACCTCCAAATCACTGTCTCCCAAGGGAGGGAAGGAGAGAGGAGGTGAGAGAACAGGTGCAATCTGAGGTTCCAGGTGCCCAAACCCACAGGAACTCAAGGTCATTGCTTTTCTCCTTCTGGTTAATTTTTAAGGAGACAAGGCTAGTTGGGCATTCACAGAACACTTGCTCTCAGAAAACCTTTTCTTGGGGCACCTGGGTGGCTCAGTGTGTTAAGCCTCTGCCTTCGGCTCAGGTCATGGTCTCAGGTCACCATCTCAGATCATGGTCTCGGGGTCCTGGGATCGAACCCCTCATTGGGCTCTCTGCTCAGTGGGGAACCTGCTTCCTTCTCTCTCTCTGCCTGCCTCTCTGCCTACTTGTGATCTCTCTCTGTCAAATAAATAAATAAAATCTTTAAAAAAAGGAAAAACTTTTCTTCTTCTGCCCCCTGCCCCACCTCTACAAACAGGTTTGGATAGCCTAGTTTCCAGTCACTTGCTTGTTGAGATCATCATGGGTGCTTTTTCTTTTCTTTAAACTTCTAGACCAAGGTTCTTAAGATGGGACTTACATGTGTTAAGAAGTGATGGAGGATTAATTAGGTCTGTGTTTGTTTTGGGGAGAAGAAGGCTCTCAATATTTCAGCAGATTCTTAAAGAGTCCAAAACTCAAGAAGAGAGAAAGAAGAGAGGGAGGGAAAAGGTTAGAACCAGTGGTCTTGACACGTGTGGGATGTTTCTGCAGATTTCTGGAATTAGTGCTGCCCTAGAGCCCCCTATGTGTCTATCTGGAGGCCCCACCTAGAGCAGAGGCAGCCTAGCGCCTCAACACTGTCCGTCCACGGTAGTTTCTTCACACACGTTCTATCCTGGCTTCTAAGACACGACAGGGAAAACAACCAGTCTTGCAGAATGTCTTTGACACTGACATAAGGTTCTCCTGACAATGCTGGTAAAAAAAAAAGTAAGTTCTTCTGGGAGCTTTGAGCATCTTGGAAGACAGTAATATTATACAGGAGTAGTGAGCCGGCCTGTCCATATCAGAACAGGCACGTCTGAGCAGAACCTATGTTTGAGCAGGTAGCTGGAACTTTGGGAAGCGTGAGGTCCAGGGCTATGAACCAGATTCAGACCCTGACAGCTGCATCCACACTAAGGAGGACCCAGGGTCTGACCGTGAAGCTGGCAGCTGGGGAAGCCATTTTGGATGACCTCATTCAGCTCCCGGGCACTCCCTTCTTCCCATCCACCTCACAGAGATGGTTGCTCATTTTTCTTTTACTAGAACCAAACCAAACAAGGCTCTATAAATAACCCCCAGGAGTCTTCAGAAGGAGCAGACTTATACTTGAAGATGTAAATATACCTACCTCCTTACCTTCAATTAGATCCACTCCTTCAAAGCTTTGCCCTGATTGAAGCCAGGGGCAGAGGCTTAGGAGGCAGAGAGCAAAAGGGCGGTGGCCGTCTTTGACCTTCCCTCTTTGCCCTTCCATAACTTCTTTGTCCCCACTTCATGCTGTCGGTGCCTCTGACTGTCTAATGACCAGATTTCTCTCCTTTGTTTCATTGTTCGCCTTTTTGTAGACATTCTATTAGCTTATATTCATTGAGTGTTAATACTGGACACTCTAAGTGAATTGATTCATTTAATGACCTTATGAAAAAATAAATATTGTACCCATTTTACAGATGGGAAACATGAAGGTCAGAAAGGTTAAAGTTATGACCTCTGCTCCTGAGATATTTGTAAAAACCTGGCTGGGGAGGAAAAAACATGCTAAACTCATTCACATGTGTGGTGTATATATGCTTTTATATTTGATATATAAATATATAAATATAAATATAAAAAATATATATGTATATACATATATATATATATCTCCAAGAGAGGAGTTGCAAGGCATAAAAGAGGAATATTGTTTCATTTATCCAGATATATTTCATAGATTGGATCTAATCAAAATGGGTTTGATTACGTTTAAGATCGAAGAAGAATCAAGCTGATGAAAATGATTCTTCCTGGATTTTTGCTCTCTTCTTGTATCTATATTAGTAGGAGAAAGCACCCTGGAGGCCTTTACTGGCTTTATCTGGTTTAATCCCCTCCATTTTCAGACGAGCTAACCAAGAGCCAGAAAGGCCAAGTGCCTGTGACTATCAGTGGGAAAACTGGCCTTCTGACTTCTTAAGTTCTATTTCCACCATCCTGGGATGGCTTCCCTCGACATGGTCAAATAATTGCATCGGATGTAGATGCCCCAGTTCCTGCTTTTCGGGGCCAGGGACTCCAGGCTCCAGTTTATAAACGCTGAGAGGGAAGCCCACTGACCTAAGCACACAGAGGTGGATAGGCGGCAGGACTGGCAGAAACCCTTCCAATGGCCAGCTTTGTCCTTGTTGGACCTTTTGCAGCTGGTTTTAGTTCTGGCTTCATATTGTCCGGCTCTGACTTTCCCCATCTGTCCTCCACAGGCCAGTGCAGCAGCGACCTGTTCCAGTCCGCACACAATGTCATCGTCAAGACAGAACAAAGTGGTGAGTAGCCAACTTGGGAGGCCAAGCCTGGGGAGGACAGCTGGGAGGGCGTCAGGAGAGGGTGGGAGCAGGGCAAGTCTAGTGCTCTGGCAGGAAGCCAAGGGGTGCTTCCTCCCTGGCTCTCTCCAATGGGCCACCCCACCGTGAGTCTCGTTCCTTGCCTTGGGGACCAGGGACTGCCAACTATTTCTGATCTAGACTGAAGCTGTCCACACCTCTGTCCACACCTCCCGCTGCTGGTTAAGGCATCATCCAGGTTGGAGTCCAAGAGCTGGGGAAAATGCAGGGTTTGGGAGGGCCTCCTTCTCACACAAAGAGAGTCAGGGTCCTGGGCTGGGCCAAGTTAGGAGAAACAAGGGGAGAGAAGAGAAAAGTCCAGCGCTTCCTCCCCACTCGTCCTTTGGTGGGAGTGCATTTCCCAAAAAGGAGGAAACTACAGATTTGCTGTTGCAGTTTCTGTAGCTTCTGGAGGGTCTGGGGGACATCCAAAAGCAGCTGCGGAACCCACTCCCTACCTCAGGTGCACGTTTAGACAAATGACACTATTCTGGACTCTGAGTAGGGTCTGCGGTCTCAGAGGATCTACGTTTATTTTTTGTTCTCCTTTCCCGATCCAATCAGTCCTCCTTTCTCTGTCCCAAATCTTTCTCCTGGGGACCTGTTGGACTTGCGGTGGTGGTGAGGGGGAGGGGCAGGCAGTACTGCCTGGAGAAATGTGCCCCAGGGCCTCGCCTTGCATCCATTAGAGCTTCTTGCATGTTGACCTTTGACCTATGACCTCTCAGTCCAGGGAGAGCTCCGTAAGTCCCCCAGGGCCCCCTGGCCATGATAAGACCGCCGCTGCCCCAGAGTCGCTCCCCACATCCACAGCAGTGAGACTGGGAGCCATGTCGGATGGCCGAGGTCGCCACAGGCCTCCTTGAGGCGTGCATGCGGGTCACCACGGACAGAATTTGACCCTGGGTGATTTGGGAGTTGCTAGGGGCTGAAATTGGCCCCATGCAGTTATTTACTCTTTTATGAGGGGCTAGTCACCATTATTAAAGAAAAAGCAATAGCTGTTAAGCATGTTCATTAGGTCTTCCTGGCCTTGCCCCCCACCCCGCCCTGCACAACCCCCTACGCCCACCCACCACAGAAGCCAGGGGTTGGGTTCCCTGGATGGCCTGTGTTTCTGGGTCTGACTGCCCTAGAGGCAGACACAGGATTTGGCCCAGAGGCTCGGGCTCCACCCCCATTCCCACCGGGACCTGACGGATAGCCCCACTGGAGGAGCCTGCTGGTGTTGGAGAGGGCCCAAATAACTCGGTAATTCCTCCTTGACCGTCCAGACATTCTCGTGTTGCCAGTTCAGAAAAGCTGAGCCAAGGGGCGGAGAAGAAGGTCCACCCTAGGAGGAGGGGAGAAGAGGCTCTTAAAGGGGCCAACACCCCCCAAACCTTTTCGGTTCAGTTTGTTTTCAGAGACAACAACAGGTGTACGAGGTGACCCAACGAGGAGAGAGGGTGTAGCCCCAAGAGATCGGGCTTGGGGTGCCCAAACACGTAGCTATTAGTTAAAATACCAGCTAAATCCCTATGTCGTAAACAGGAGGACTTAGCCGATGAGTCAGGCTTTATATTATTTATGCTATAAAAACAAAATGAAACTCGGCCAGTGGCTTACCACCCTGACCCTGAAATTCAGAAGGCAGACAGGAGGGGAGCTGAGGGCAGCCTCCGTCTGTGAAGCGGGGAAAGCAGGAAGTTCCTGGTGGGGACGAGGTGAGAACGCCTGCCCTGTCTCACAGCTCTTGGCTAGGAAAGAATATGCTCCTGTTGGAGATCAGCCCAGACGTGGGGGTTGTGTAGGAGCTGGGCTTCATTTGGCGTAGGTGGACGGGAGTTTCCTTGGAATCCGAAATCCAAAGAGTCAGACATGCTTCCCCAGCCCTCTGCAGGGGTGTGGTGGGGGGAGAGGGAGCGCTCTTCTTTTTCAGAGATGAGGCAATGGGGCTTCCCTCTTAAAAGTTGTCTGCTTGATTTGGTAACACTCTCTTTGCCTTCTCCTTTGTTTTGTTTTGAGAATTTTGTGTCATCGCTTGAGTTAATTGGAGAAATGCTGAAGGAAGGGGGGTGTCACTCCACTGGAGGGAGAGCTTCCAGAATTTCAATCATGAAAACACCATGATGAAGACTGACTAGACTTTCCTGAGAGAAACATTAATTCTCCCAGGAAGATATTTCTAGGAAACGATGGTCATTAATTAAGAATTATTTGAACATAATAATTTCTTTTTCTACTGTAAGAATATTCTGGTGATTATACAATAGCAGGCAGGACGAGGCCAGGCTCCAGAGCCCACTGCCTGCTGTGTGCATGCTGGGAAGATCCCCAGGAAGCCAAAGCATGGACCTAGGACAGGGTCTCACTACAGTGTTCCTTTCACCTTTCTAAAGAGGCGTAGGTGTAGAACACATGGTTGGGGCCAAAACAAAGCCCATCTCCCGTTGGACACTGGAAGAAAAAGGAGTTAAGATTCTTATAAAATAACATGTGGTAGAAGCAGAATGTTATCCTGCCTCTCAGAGGACCACCCACAAGGTCCAGCACCTCTCCGATGAGCAGTGAGTTAGAAAAGGCAAACTCATCACCTAGGAAAATATGATGGCTGACCATTCCCATTTTCTGTCTTTTGTAGATCCTTCCATCATGAACACCTGGAAAGAAGAAAACTTTTTATATGACACCAACTATGGTAGCACAGTAGGTAACTAACTCCCCAACACTTAAGGGCCTTTGACATTCTTTTTATTCTGTTTTCTAACAGCCACAGAATTACATTCTAAGGAGGGGGCTCTTAATGTCGTTTGTCATTTCATTGCTACAGATTTGTTGGACAGCAAGACGTTTTGTCGGGCCCAGATCTCCATGACGAGCATGGGTCACCTTCCTCTCGGTAAGCTGTCCTGACATCAGGGGCTGAGGGTGCCTCGTGCAAGTGCTTACTGAAAACTAATGAGAATCACAATACCCTATGTTTCCACTTTGCTGGAGTCTTTCTCGTTAAAACACTGGGAAGGGAATGGAGTTACTATTTTTAAAAGGTCTGTTTTTGAGCCAATATCTGTACTTTGAAAATGACCAGCAAGGAAGCCTCTAGGAAGTGTTTGTTTGTCCCTCGTGAAATCAAGTCAGTCTCTTGTGACAACAAAAAATCCTGTCAGCAAAAGCTTGCTCTTAGGGAATTATCTGATAAAAGTGTTCGGACTTGGGTCTATGTATGGGGGAAGAAGGCTGTATTGAATCTTCAACAAACTATGTCTGACTTCAGAGAAAGAAAACCTAAAAGTGGCCTTCAAAGGTCAGAGAACCTGAAGGGATGATCTCTGGGTAGTGGGGTAGCTGTTGGAAATTTCTAGAACCCTGTCTATCACAGATCAGCCTTTAAGCCTGAACCCTGATGGCTCATTAAGACTCTGATTAGTCAGAACCCCTGCGCTTTATGAATTACGTTGACGATAGTTGTGCTTGGTTAAAAATGGATGCAAGTGGGGGCTATACTTGACTCCCAGTCAAGGTTCCCCTGCGAGGGTTGGTCCCTCAGGAGTCCAGAGAGGGGCTTTCAGATGACAATTCCCCCTCCCCTTACAAAGAAGCCCACTGGCACGTGCCCTGTGAGCATGAACGCACAGGGGAGGTGAACAGAGGGTTTTGTGGTGTCCCTTGACTTGGGTGCGAATTTGTAAAACCGCTTGGGTCTATGAGATTTGGAGCTTAGACTTGTCATGGGTCAATTGCTGTTTTCCTGGAATTGAAGCTGGGGCATCTTCAGAATCGGGATTTAAATGCATGCCTGTGAAGGAACTTGGAATCATACAGCCTCTCCTCCCCGGAAAACTTCCCTTGTTTTTGCTTTTGTTCAGTGTGTTTTTAAGAAATGAAATCATGAGGTTTTGAGGTTTTGAATGAAACAGGGATGGGAACCAATGTCAGTGGTTCTAGAATTGAGGTTAAGAACGAAGGGCAATTCGTTTCTCGACTTCTCACAGTGGGTACCATGTTAGGTGTCATTCTTAGTTTTTGTTCAACTTTGGAAACAGATCAGATACTGGGAAGGCTCTGCAGTGGGTCTGCTGTTCTGGGGGAACTGAGCCGATTGGGGGGGGTGGAATTTCTGCAACAATCATTGTCACCCAGTCAAGACCGAGGGTTTCAGAACCGAGGAAACCACCAGGTCACACTCTGACTTCCTCTCCCACCTCATCAGGTGGCACCTCCTGTGTCCTTCCAGTTCTGTCTCTGGCTTATGGCAAAAAATTGCAGCTTAGAATAAACTTTCACCGACCACTTCCTGAGCCTCGGGGCTTGTTGGGTCCTGAGGTGCCTGGAAAACAGAAAAGCCATAGTCACAACCCTCCTGCCCTCTCTGCCTGGCCGCCCTTCTCTCTTCTGTGTCCTGACTTAACCCTCTAGAATTTCACAGTCCACATGGGACCATTCTGTTTTCATATCTGCAGGAATAGGGAACTCACTGTCCCCTTATTCCATTTTTAAATAATCCTTAAAACGGGCTTTGCAGATCTGCACTCCTTTATCTCCCTTGACCCTGGATTCCCTTGTCGCCCATTCCTATCCTTGGATTGTAACACGGTGAAGAAACCGGGGACCTCTACTGGAATTATTCCTTATAGAGTCAACACAGTGTCTGGGGCTGGCAGCTTCTTTGGAGTAATTAACTAGCCCTGGGTCCTCCAGAAGGCTAGTTAATTACAGCCTTGCCTGGGGGTCCATTCCTTTCGGAAAGGTTTAATCTCTACTGGAGGGGACCAGAACACCACCCCCCCTAAAAAAAGGACCTTTGTCATTCGTCGGAGTCTGTAGATTTCAAGTTCCCATGAAATTGGGTGCAGTTAAACATCTTGCTATGCTCTGAAGCAAGTTACAAGCCAAGTAGGCGAGGCTCGGCGTAAACTGATACCCTCTGTGATAAACGCAGGTGGGGAAGCGGGCTTTGTTTTGACTTCTCTGTCATCTGCCCATTTCACAAAATGGCCGCTGCCCATGTTCCTGATCTGCCCGATAGTCCTCGAGCCAATCACGCCAACTCGGGCATGATGTGTTTATTCACTGACTTATTGAGCCTAGAGCTAGGGTGTCATGGTCTCTTATAACACTGACATTTGTATATCCCGTAAAGAAATGGCTCACAGCTGAATCACATGCAAATGCTTCTAATCTTCGCTTCTTGCAAAGCGGCATAGCTGAAGTCATGCCCTGGCACTTAAGTCACACACCCGTGGCTTGGTGCTCCCCTTGCCCAGACGGGACCTCGGCCTCAGGTGCCTGGGAGCAGAGCGAGAGAAAGCCGGGCCGGACGACTTCCCCAGAGCAAGCCATTATTTTACAGGAGTGAATCACTTAACCACATGGCTAACTTCAAAGCTTTTGGCTTTTATTTTAGGGTGAGGGGAAGACACGGGGGGAGAGGCCATCGTATTAAGGGGAGGTTTCAGATCAAAAGACTTCAGTGCCAAGGCAGGTTCGGTGTCCCACAGCTTGCCCACACACACTGGGGACGGGAAGAGGAGGCTGGAAGAAATCCGAGTTTCTTTTGCCTTTGGCTGCATATTCCTCCATGTGATGATGGAAACATTTTTATTGGGGGATTTATTTTGTTTTCTGTCTTTGGTTTTTCTTGAAGCTGGATGGAGGTCCATTCTGGGTAAATGGCTGGCATCTCACAGAGAACATTCTCTCATGGTCTGTCTGGTCTGGGGTCTTTAAGTCTGGAGTCCACGGACTCCTTGAGAAAGCCTAGATCCCTGAAGTTGCTTACAGATTCTCATGAGGATACACATACATGCGTTTTTCTGGGGAGAGGGTCCACGGTTTCCTTCTTAGTCACAAAGGTGCCTGAGCCTCCAAAGTAACTGATTCTATAACAGCTCGAAATGCCTGAACAATGATAGAGGCCAATACGCTGAAAACCCTTGAGTTTTCCTGAATTCAACCTTGGCTCTGAAGTAATGGCCCTGTATCCCTTCTGGATGCCTCTGGAAAATGAACTTTGCTTGTGGCCTCCTGGGTAAATGCCACCCTTTGTCCGCAGAACAACGCGGCCCTGTCAGAGTGATGTATCACTTGGAAACCGGGGTGAGTGCCAGACCTGTCGCAATATTGTCACATCCTGACGGGATGTCGCAATCTCACCCTGAAACCTACCGGGCGGGAGAGCGGAGTCTCCTTGCCTTTCCTGCGAATTTGCCCTTCCAGATTTCAGAGAAACCCAAGTCAGGTGCAGGCCCGCCTGCCGACAGTGCGGGGGGAGAGATCCTCCGCATGAAGAGGCTTTTCAGCTGACCAGAGCTTATGACATCCCTGTCCTCCTCCTACCACGGCTCGTGGAGAAACAGCCGGGAACACTGAGCTGTGATGAGCCGGGTGCTCCTATAGGTGACTGTGTGTGAGGATGTGTCCATGCATGCTGGGGAATCCAGAATCACTGAGCTGGAATGACTTTTTCCCACGAACTCAGGCATTGGAAAACCGAGCCTGATTCTCGGCAGGAAAGACTTCTGTGAAATCTCTTAGGTGCCATTGTCTCTGGGATTGGTTCTGAATGGTGGTTGTGACTGAAGCCTCTGGATTCAAATCATGTGTCTTCACATCTTGGCGCCACTTTCAGGCTGTGTGACTTTAGACAAGTCACCTGACCTCTCTGTGTCTCAGCTCCTATACAGATCTTTGGTTCGTAATAGTCCCCACCTCAGAAGCCTATTGAGTGAGGTGACTATGTCATTCTTGTACCAAGCCTAGCCCAGTGGTGGCACACAGTAAGGGCTCAGTAAACAGTAGCACTTCTTCTTAACCGTCGTATGTAGGAGCTAACGGTTATTCTAACTTTTTCGAATCATCAGCCACTCTTGACAATGAAGTGAATGCCATGTGTCCTCTCCATCTACATGGAGTTTCAGTCAGTCCATAATGCCCAGGAAGGCCACACGGGGATCAGTGAACCCTAGCTTAGGAAGCGCTGATGTACTATGCACTGGGAGATGCATTTTACCAGCCCGGTTGCTTAACAGGATTGGCTTGCATTTAGGGATTGCTCTGTATTCAGATTGCTGGGTTACTGATTGAGAGATTTTTTGGTAAACTATGCCTTGGTCTTCCTGATGCCTGAAGTGCCCACTCACACACACACACACATATGTGCGCACAGGCATCACTAGACCACTTATTTTTCTTTTTAAGAAGTTTTATTTCACCAGATCTGCCTCTGTCATTGTGTCTTTGGTGATACTCACAAGGGTTACCATAATGAGTCATTTGTTAACTAATCTGTGTTTCCATAGTCCACTGGTGGCCCTCTGTACTGAGTGCAGACCAGTCAATGGCCCCTTTGTCAGACTGATTAAAATATAACTTTGCATGCCAAAAAAGGGCACTCCTCTGGCTTAAAAGCCATTTTTCTTTGTTATAAGTGTTTACATTTTGTATTATGTAAAAACACACACACATATACACACATACACACACACATACTTCTTTCAATGTCCTAAATCCTTCAGTGGCTTCCTATCTCTCTCAGAATAAAAGCTAAAATCCAAAAAGAGTCCCACAAAGCCTTACTGATCTCAACCTCGGCCCCTTGTTTACTGTCACGTTGGCATCCTTGTATTCTCTGAATGTACCAAACACATACTGACCTCAGGGCCTTTGCATTTACTGTTCTTATTCATTGGCAGTTCTTCTGCAAGCTCTGTGCGTGGCTGGCTGTCCCCCTCACATCTTCGGTCCCCTTCTCTGAGATGTCTTCTGTGACTGCCTTATATTTAATGACAAATTATTTCCACCTTCACACTCCTATCCCCATTTCTTACCCTGCAAGATTTTTCTTCATAGTACATATCATCTGTTTTGTTCTGCTCATATACCACACACGCAAACAGTGCCAGGCATATAGTAGGTGCTCAATAAATATCAATTGAATGACTGGATGAATGAGTGGCATGGATGACTGTAGGTGACAGGTAAATTAAGCAGCTCTCACTGTTCCTTTCAGCAGAGTCACCTGAGATGAAAAAGGAGCAAGACCACCCTGCGAAGTCCCACGCCAAAAAGCACAGTAAGTCGGCTGGCTTTCTGGTGGCGGTTGCCCCTTCCCTTCAGGGTGGGTGTAACCGGAGGCCTCTAGCTTTTATGCAAATATTGCCTCTGCCTGTCCCCTCCTCTTATTTATCTCAGCCTGTTTAGGGTGAGACAGTGGGAGCACCCCTCACGGGCATGGTGAGTCTCTCCGTAGTTTCTCGAAGTGGAGATTCCCCTGGATATTTTCTCCCTGTGCTGTTCTTTTTGTTCGAAAACTGGGACACCCAGTGAGTGAGAACTGCTTGCAGGCAAGAGGCTAGCCATTTTGCTCTCTCCAGAAAAATGGATGGGAAGAGAAGATGAGCAGAGACAATGGAGATGTATTCTTTTTCTCTTTTGTTGACTGTTGGCTTCCTACCTTTGTTGAGTGATTGATCTAAGAAAGGACTGTTTACTCTTAATAGTCAACAGTGTTCTTGGGACGTTGTCATTCCCCCGATAATAAAACCTTATGAAAATATAGGAGCTGTCAGAGACGTGGAGGGGAGGGCTCAGAAAGAAATCAAGTGGACATTGTTACTATTTGTTACTCCATGTCATTCCCCAGAACTGAATGAACACAGCACAGTAAATGGCAGGGAGGGGTTGTGTGGGGCAGGTCTTGTGGGGGTCAAGTAGGATTTGGTTGCTAATCTTACTGTAGTAGCTGCTTCATTGTCAAATTGGCCCCCTCAACTCCTACCAGACCCTGTCCCAGTATAATCTAGGAGTTCGAGTTCTAGAGCCCTGCTGACATGCATTTGACCCAACCACAGTTGCTGGCTGAGAGTGCTTTACCTGGGTTGAGGTTCTAAATGAAAGTGGTTGAAATTTGCTCTTCTGGGAAAGGACAGATGGCAAGGAATCCTGAGCAAGGAATCCTCCAGTAATTAAAAGAGACTCCCCTGGCATAGGAGGTCTAAGATCTATTCCTTTGTCTTAGCTTTGCCACTAGCTAATTGGGTGATCTTGGTTAAGTCACTTGAATTCTCTGTGTCTCCATTTCTTTTTTTTTCTTTTTTCTTTTCTTTCTTCTTCTTCTTTTTTTTTTAAAGATTTTATTTATTTATTTGACAGACAGAGATCACAAAAAGGCGGGGGGTGGGGGAAAGCAGGCTCCCCACTGAGCAGAGAGCCGATGCGCGCTTGATCCCAGGACCCTGGGATCATGACCTGAGCCGAAGGCAGAGGCTTTAACCCACTGAGCCACCCAGGCGCCCCTGTGTCTCCGTTTCTTGATGTATAAACTAAACAATTGTGCCAGTTCGTTCTCAAATGCCTTTTTAAAAGATATAATATATGGTGATTCTGTGATCTGACTGTGCCGGTGGATAGGGGAAATTTGAGTATGTTCTCCTTGATAGAAGATGTGGCAACTCTATGCTTCCTCTCCCCCTTCTTTGCTGTGACTTAGGCCCTTTATAAATTCCTTTTCCAACTTGTCCTCAGATCCACGAGGGACCCACTTATGGGAATTCATCCGTGACATCCTCCTGAACCCAGACAAGAACCCAGGGTTAATCAAGTGGGAAGACCGGTCTGAGGGCATCTTCAGGTTCTTGAAATCAGAAGCTGTGGCTCAGTTATGGGGCAAAAAGAAAAACAACAGCAGCATGACCTATGAAAAACTCAGCCGAGCGATGAGGTGAGGTGTTTCCAGCCCTGACCGTGACCGCTTGTTTCCCCTGGTGGTCTTTGTCTGAATGGCCACCTTATGTGATGTCCTTTGTTACAGATATTACTACAAAAGAGAAATTCTGGAACGTGTAGACGGAAGAAGACTCGTATACAAATTTGGGAAGAATGCACGTGGATGGCGAGAAAATGAAAACTGAACCTGCCAACACTTTGAGCACGAACCCAAACATTACCCCAAATGATAGCCAGCCAAGAGCTCCTGGACATAAGTATTTCAAAGACTACTTTTCTCTGATATTTATGTACCTTGAGGGGGAAAACCATCTACTTCTAATGGGAAGAAGGAACACTACAGTTGATAAAATTATTTTGTTACTTTGAAGTATGTCCTATATGGGGGACAAACGTACACAGTTTTCTGTGAAATATGATGCTGTATGTGGTCGTGATTTGTTTTTGCCTCTATTGTGAAGTTCCTTTCCATGGCAAGAAAGGCAGAATCTGTAGCCTTGTGCTTCTTGCTAAGAGAAAGAGAAAAAAATTAGAGGGCATTAAATGTTTTTATATTAGGAAAAGGTGACATGTCCTCTGTGTGTAAGCATCCACATGGCCTCATCGGGAGAGGCGGGAGAGGTCACTAAGGTGAACTCCAAGGTCTCAGATTGACAGGGTGAACCCAAGGATGCTGGGAAGTTTAACCTGACCTTTTGGAGCCAGTGAGGGGAGCATGAAGACTTCCAAAATCCAAGTGGACTATAATCACTTCATAATCACATGACTTGCCATGTTTAAATCAGCAGAATAATGGTGAAGGCTTTCTACTCATTCAAGAATGATTTACCTGACGCCAAGGCTGTCTCTCTCCCTCCCTCTTCGATGATTGGGGGAAAAAACTTCAAATGCCGTCTCTGCTCACTTCTAGGTATTTAAGAGAGAGTTTAGCCTTGGTTGTTTTCAATCCCAATTGTTTGAAAATAAATGGGAAAAAGGAAGTGGTGATGAGTTTGCTCTTGTATTCCTACAGCCCATCGATTCTCGATGAACAAAATGGATGTTTTTGGCTAATTCTTTTTTGTGCATTATTTGGCTGTCTTGTGCTTGTAGGTTGTTTAGCGGGATCTGTGACCTTTACCCACTGGATGCCAGTGCCCTCCCTTCCCCAAAGTTGTGACATCTTCAGATGTTGCCACATTTCCCTTGAAAAAGGGCAAAATTGTCCTTGATTGAGAACCACTGAGGCAGCCCGCCGAGACGAAGACGGCGATTTACTCTCAGAACAAAAATATGTGTAGATCTTTCAGTTCCCAGAGTGAAGTAAAAGTAAGACTTCAAAGTCAATCAATTTTTAAATTTTAAAATATTAGGGACAATGGGAATTTTAGAAATGGGAAATCTAGAGGGGATTTTCAGAATCCCAGATGAGAGCCAAAGTCAGAGAAGTTAAACAGAGTAATGTAACAAGAATTATAATAGAAGACATTTCACTAGAATGGCAAAGCAGAGTAAAAATTACATTGCAAAAGGAAATGCTGAGAGAAGAATGAGAGGGGGGGAGAGAGAGAGAGCGAGAGCGAGAGATATCCAGGGAAAATCTTTGCTCTTTTGGATAATTTCTTTCCTGTCTAATCTGGACTCATCCCAAAGTGAATGGTGTGTTGCCTAGATTTGTGTCCAGAGGATTTTTTTTTTTTTTTAAAGACAGAAAAAAGAAAGGTAGATGGAAGAGAAACAGAATGCTCAGTTCAGGGGCTATGGTCAGTAAGGAGTTGGGGATTTCTCCAGTGGCATTGCTCCAGGCTGCCTGGAGACTTACTCCTGGGCCTTGCAGCCTGGGAGGAACATGAGCCTGTAGACACTTTGAAAATGGGTTTGAACACTGAGATCCCTTTTGCACCTTTTCTTTTTGGCTCCCCACGTCCTTCGCTTTCTCCCCCCTTTTGCCTCTCTATTTTGAGCAATAATATGGGGATGGAGACAGCTAATGTCATCAACAAATAGAACACCTACCGCGGTGTCTCACCCAGCGAAGGTGAACGAGTCATAGTCAAAGGTTGTGGAGTGTTTGTAATGTATTCAGAAGGTTGGAAGTAAGAATTAAGAATTTGTCCTGATCATAACGAGAACCATTACGGATGGTAACCTTGGAGCGGCAGCTTAGCGAGATGATCTTCTGAAGGTACAACCAAGTCCGTTTTTGCTTCTGCCTGGCTTGGTCACTTCCACAGAGGTGTTACTGGGTGTTGTCAAGTAACAGTTACCGAGGGACCTGAGAGAAATAACAATGAGCCACACAGACCCGAAGCACGCTGCCTAAAAGACGCACCTTGCTTTCCCAGCGAAGCTGAAGGACTCTGAGGTGTTTCCAGCATTTTACTACATTTCACCTGGAACAAATTAAACATCTAAACATCTGAACTGGTATAAATGAATAAATGTTTGCATGTCTGTGTGCATCTGAATCGTGTGGAGCTATTAGGGACGTCTGCTAATTCATTCTCTGTTCTTTCTTCCCGGGCTTTGCCTATTCATCATGGGGCGGGGGTGGGGGGGGGGAGGCGCTAGATCCTTCCCCGAGCTCACCTTTCCCCAAACCAGCAAGTTTCTCACATTCCTCCAAATTGGCCTTGGCTCTTTCTGCACCCTCCCCCTGAAGAGCAATTTCTGCTCAGCAGTAAGTAAATCTGGGGAGTACCGATTGGAACAGTTCTGCAGATAATTAACAGATTGTGCTATTTGTTGAAAGTGACGGTTTCTTGGCACCCAGTTCCTGCTTAAATAGGCTGGAGTATTAAGTTCTCAGCATATCTCTCTATTGTCTTGGCTTGAGTTGATGCATTTTCTATGTGCTGTTCGTGACTTGGAGAACTCAAGGGAATTGAGCCATGCCAGCTTGGGGTGTGAACAGAGTACTTCCCACCACAGTGTTGCAAGGGAGAGCAAAATCCCAGAGATAAGCCAGCATCAAGTGAAGCCTCCCCCCAAACCCCCATCTCTTGGGGACTCACAGCTTCTCGCTCAAGAAGCTTAGCTCTGCTGGATGTTCACAACATCCCTACACCTGGTCTCCTTGAGCTCCAAGGCTTAGGCTTTAAGCCTTTTTGCCATTTTCATGGGAATCTGAGGCAAGAAAAGTGTTGCTAAGATTTTACCAGACTCACATAATCTGAGTCTCCTGGATATTTTTCTTAAAATTTGAGCAAGATCCTGGATCCCAGAAACATACACCCACAGATTCTTGAACTTGCCTTCTGAACAGGGCAGACCCAGGTGATGAGTTTTCCTTTGAACATGCTGGTCCTTCCTCAAAGTTCAAGCCTTTCTAGACTGTAAGCTCTTAGAGGGCAGGAACTAGATCTTATCCATATTGTTTCCCAGCACCTAGCATGGGCTCGGTCCTTGGTAAGTATGTATTGACTTAATAAATGAACGTCTTCTGGAAGACTTCTCCATATCCACAATTGGGATGTGAATCATTTCTTTACTGGAATAAGAGCACAATGGCCAAAACTTCGAGAATATATTATGTATTAGATGAGCATTCTACTGTGAGACTTTTTACTTTGCCTTCCTACTTGTCCTGAAATGAAACCAAACAGTCAGGTTGTTTGGTTCCACCAGTCAACATATGTTGAATGAGAATTCTGTTCCCTTGTTAGGAGCTGTGAGACTTATCTGGTACGAGAAGCCAGTAATGGACCTTTGACCTGTTTTAACCAACGAAGGTTATGAATGTGTTTATGTGATGTACATTGCTATTTAAGTGTAAAGCAGTTCTAGTGTTTGGGGGTTGGTTTATATATATATTTTTGTCTTTTTGAAAAAAAGGGATCTTTTGGTAAGGTTAGTTGTGCATGTTAGATTTTAATTTTGCAAGTGTGTTGCTTTTCAAATCTATACAATAGAGGAAAAGGCAAAATAGTAAGAGGGAAAGTCAATTATCTTATTCTTTTATAGTTAAAAAAATCATTTGTTGAGTGCCTACTGTGGGCACAGAATGGAGCCATCTACGTGAGGAGTGTCTTTAATTCTACAGAACGTAAGAGATGTTCCACAGGACACTGTTGCATGGATACATGCGCTGTGAAAGAAGGAACAGCATAGTAGTCACAATACCAGAGCTGGATTAGCTTCAGCACTGGTTCTCAGGATGTCTTTTCTGGAATAGGAAATAGAGCATTTAATAAAAACCCATTTTGAGACTGTGCCTTATGAACCATTGAAACGTATTAGCCCTCACAAGTTTAGCTTAATTGGGATTAATCTTTCTGTAGCTATCTGCATAATTCTTGCTTTTCTCCCATTTGGCTTCTGGGTTGACAATTTCTGGGAAACAATCCTACTGCCACTATTTAAAAAAAAAATCAGAAATCTTATCCTTTAAACTATATGAAATTCAAACTGAGTATTTTTATTGTATGAAAGAATTTTATTTTTGGAAGTATGGTTTTTTTTGTTCGATGGGTCCCAGAAAACATGAATAAAAACCACAGAGATCAGCCTGTAATTGTGTTTCATGTTTCAGCAAATCACCCAGAGGAAATGCAGTTGGTCTACAGCAACAAAACGCATGCAATTCTTGCACATATTTATTCCGTAAGCATTTATTGAGCATCTTCTATGTGCCAGGCACTATCCTAGACTCTAATCTATGGTAGAAAATAAAAGCGATAAAAATCTTGACTTTCATGAAGTTCAAGTTTCATTGGATAGAAACAGACAAGAAACCAAACACTAACAAGCAAATATCAGAGGTGTCATAAAGAAATGTGGAACCAAGAGGACTGGAGAGTGCTGGGATATATAGGGATATATGCAAGTTTCACCAGGGGTAAGGAGGAAGGATTTCAGTGAAGACCCGAAAGATAGAAGGAAAAGAACCATGCAGATAAGGGGGAATGATAATGTACTGAAGGGACCAGCAAGTGCAAATGTCCTGAGTTTCCTTCAGGTGTTCTTGGCATGTCCAAAGAGCAGCTAGGAAGTCTATTTGCCAGAGCAGAATAAGCAATAGTAGGAAATGATGTAAACTAGTCACTGGCAGGCTAGATGACATAGAACACAGAGAACATTATGAAGGCTCCGGGTTTTCTTTTGAGTGAGGTGGGGAGCCACAGAGAAGTGACATGCTCTCACCTCTGGTTTAAAAGAATCCCTCTGGCTGTTGTGTTGCGAATGAATTGCAGGGAGTCATTCAATGCCAAGCATACATTCTTACGGAAGGATGGACAGAAGGAGGTAGAAAATCTCCCACTCGCTCCCAGGCTTCCCATACGATGCTTAACAAATATTTCAAGGTAGGCAGTGAGTTCTATCTTTTCATAACATAGGTAGAGCTATGTTGTCTCCTGGGGCCCAGAAAGTCTCAGTCATTCAGTTCTTAACTTCATAGCCTATAATATGAAAACAATAATAGGTGAGCATTTGGGGAAGATCCTCTTGTTGCTGGAACCATGGGATGTGCTTTACATACATAATTATATTTAATCCTCCCACAAGTCTCAGATATATAGATATGATCTCCAATTTTCACATGAAGGAAACAGTGATCAGAGAGGTTAAATGACTTTCTTAAGGTCACACAGCTAGAAATTAGCAGTAAAGCTGTCCTTGTGCACCCAGACCTCAGTTCCCCAAAACCCATCTTCCTAATTCTGATGTTCTCTAGTTCATTGGGATGCTAATTTATACCACATGCACACACACAGCTTCATGGTTCAATATATTGGAGGAAGACTGAGTCACACAAAATCTTACGAAGTTATTCTTTAAGAATTCTTAGAGCCTTTATGATAATGGTATGCACTGTGAACCCGTAAGAGAGGGGAAAGCATTCCCAACTTCCCAAATGTACATAAAATGGACCTTTTTCATCAAGGGACACCCAGGGAAAGGATGATATGTAGAGATGACTTCTCTGACTTTGGAGAAGCAGTATTTTCCTGTTTGGGCCAAATTAGTATGCTGGTAATATTCATACATATCACACTTGGCCAACTTCTAATATATTCTATTTCTTTCTCATTAGGAAGAAATTCCCTCTCTGCCCTGGGTGTTATTTATTTGCGTTGATGCATTGGTCAGCAATCACAGTGGACTTGCCAAGTGACTCCTTTTGGGGAACTGTGAACCACCCTGAATTTTTAACTCTTTAGGACTATCTGTCCCAAACTACAGGCACTAGCCGCATGTGGCTGTTGAAGTATCAATGAGTTAAAATTATAGAAATTAGTCACACATCTGCATTCCAAGCGCTGCCCAGCCACATATGGCTACTGGTTCCAGTGCTGGACAGTGTTGCCGTAGAACATTTCCATAATCAGAGAAAGATCGAAGGGACAGCCGGGATCTAGAATCTGACTGGGAGGAGAAGGTTAAGGGTGGAAAGGGTAGTGAACAAAACTAACTCAGGCTGAAATAAGATCCCGGGAGCCTTGGAAACGAAAGGTGACCCTGAATTGTAGAGAACAATCAAAATAAAGATCCAAAACAAATCTCTCTGTGTTTGCTGGAATGGTGACAGTAGCTACCAGTGCAAACAAGTTTGATGCTGTCAGTGGAGACTTGGAGTGGG